AAGTTCGGAGCTGGATTCTGCCTCATGGAGGGCTGACAGACTGCTGTAGTGCAAATGAATCGCTGCGCTTACTCCCGAAGCCTACACTCGGAAAGACAAGCAGATTTAACGTATGGGTAGTGAGCAGTGCACCATACAGTAGATGCAGACATTTTCTATTAACTCATCTGTTTCCACAAACAAGCATATGCATGCAAAAACCAGTTAGGCTGACTAGGAGTTACTCTTTTCTCTCTCTCTGCATCTGAGACTGTTGATATTACAGGGACATGCTCTTCTCTCCTCTCTCAAGTATGAAACAAATTGCTTCAGAACGAAATGTTAAAATGCTCTGTTACGCTTTTCAACTTCTGCTACATTCAGACGCAGTCTCATCTGTTTTCTGTACAGGACGCACTCCAGACAAAAGCCTTTGTTTACCTCAGTGACCTTTGAGTGTCTGAGATTAGCTTTCACTTCCCCTCAGACACTGAGGTCTTTCTCTCCATTATTTTCACTTTATATTGACCAGAAGGCAACACGTCCAAAAGACAAAGCGGGAGTTGAGGTGACAAGCAGCTGTGTACACTGGGGTCATGTTCTCTTTCAGGGTCAGAGCCGCTCGCTGTTATTCTTTTGCTATTCCAATGCGAGCTGCAGCCTCGCAAGTGAATGTTTCCAAGTGTCAAGTAATGATTTGTATCACAGGCTTTGACCCAGAGAAAATCTGGCATGCCACATCAGTCAGTCGCCAAAAGAAGGGAAATGGTTAGAAGTGGGATTGGATGAAGAGAAAAGAGGAAAAGGTGAAGGCCCAGACTCGAGCAGTTCCCACGACCAGCAAATTGCCCAAATCGCTGGTGGCTCTCTCTGTCCCCACCCCCTCCAATACATACCGTGATGAATGGGACATTTAATATCACCTTGCTTAAGGGTATTACTGGAATGTATCTGTCCTCCTCAAAACGTTTAAACAACACTTAAATGGCCTCAGCTGAAAATGTAAGAAAAGCAGGAACCTTCCAGACTTCATTAAATGTCTTGATGCAGTTTTTGGTGTTCGATACTGTCAGAACAACTGTAGTAAGAGTACATTATGATAACAATTGTCAGTCTGACAGCATTAAGGCTGATTAAACTCAATTGAAAGTGGTCAAAGGCCTGTTCTCATATAATTTTGAGACACTTGTGATAATAACAACATTTTCAAATAAAAAAAAAAATCAATGTTTTTTTTTAATAAAAACTTAACTACAATAAAAGTTCATTATTGGTAGAAGTTTTGTTAACTCTCTACATGTAAATGTACTGTATCTGTATCAACAGGGTGTTTTGACATTCAGATTTGACTCAAAGATACAACCTGTATGTGGAGTTAGAGGAAAAGACAGAGGATCACCAAAGTCAGTAAAGTCAGTCCCTCAGGGGACCATGAATGGACCATGAAACTCATAGTAATTCTCTCTAATAGCTGTTGAGATATTTATATATGGACCAAAGTGGTAAAATCGTCCAGAGAGCCACACCATGATTGTGGCTAAAAACACACTAAGATATTTTATAAACATGCAAGAAAATGCACATTCATCTATTCCTATTATTTTTACTTATGCATTGTGGTTTATGAATTAAAGAAGCCTATTTCTGTAACGTCATACAATAAGAAGTGTTCTCAAAATAATGAGTTAGCATCTCAAAACAATTACTTGCTTTCTTGAATAATCAGTTAGTATCTCAAAATAATGAGAGAAACCTCAAAAACAAGTTAGTGCCTCGAAATAATAACTTAGCATCTCACATTAATGACAAACTGTCTCAAAATAATGACTTAACATTGAAGAAAAATGACTTGCTTTTTAAATAATCACTTAGCATCTCCAAAAAAGAGAAGATCCTTCTCAAGAAAACAAGTTAGTACCTCAAAATAATTACAAACGTTCTCAAAATAATGATGTGGTGTCTCAAAATAATGAGTTCATATCTCGAGTATTGAGAAACTTTGTTAAAATATTGAGTTAGTAACTTAAAACAATGACTTTGTGTTTCATAATAATGAGAAACTTTTTCAAAATAAAGAGAAACCTTCTCAAAATGATTTGCTTTCTTGAATAATCAGTTAGTATCTCCGACAAAAGAGAGAAACCTCTAAATAACGAGTTAGTTCCTCAAGATGACTTAGCATCACAAAATAATGACATTCTCACAATGATAACTTGATGTCTCAAATAATGAGTTTATATCTCAAATATTGAGAAACTCTCTCAATATGATAATTTTGTATCTTAAGATAATTTAATATCTCATGATAATGAGAAATGTTGCTAACACTTTACTTGAAGGTATCTACATAAGGGTGACATGATGACACTGTCATAACTATGACATGACACTGTCATGAACTTGTCATAAACATTATGTGCATGTCATAAACGTTTATGACTGCTGTCATTAAGTGTCATTCGGTTTTTGTAATGACAAGTTGACATTGTTTGGGTTGTTTTGATTATGACAACTTGACATTAATTAAAGTGACATTACCAGAAGTTGTCTTTGTCATGACAAGTTGACATTAAATTTGTTTGGGATGTCCTTATGATGACAACTTGACTTTCCCAGTTCATAACCAGGATGACATTACCAGAAGATGTCGTTGTATCAATCATTATGTCGCCTTGTCATTAACACATAAAGAGGTGCATTTCTTGTAAATGTCAAGTTGTCATGACAATGACATCCTCTGGTAATGTCATCCTGGTTAATGTCAAGTTGTCATTATAAGGACATCCCAAACAAATTTAATGTCAAAAGACAACTTCTGGTAATGTTACTTTGACTAATGTCAACTTGTCATAATTAAGACAACGCCAAACAATGTCAGCTTGTCATTACAAAAACCGAAAGACACTTAATGTCTTTCCTGATGTCTGGACCAGCCATCAGGAGCAATGTGGGGTTCAGTATCTTGCCCAAGGATACTTTGACATGTGGACTGGAGGAGTCGGGGATCGAACCGCCATTCTTCCAATTAGTGGACGACCCGCCCTACCTCTGATCCACAGTCTTAAAACACTTTTTTTTCATTATTTTGAGATACAAAGTCATTATTTTACGAGAGTTCCTTTTTTCGAGAAAGTTTCTTAAAATGATGAGAAATGACACTGTTATTAGACTGAGACTCTTGACTCATTACTTTGAGATAAGTAACTCATTACTTTGAGACACCAAGTTATTGTTTCAAGAAAGTTTCTCGTTATAATGACTTTCAGGATCTTTTTTTCATCACACTTGCAGAAGTGGGCTTCTGTATTGAATGAACTAAACTAAGAATCAATTAACACAAGCCTCAGCTTAGTGTCTCGTCTTAGGGTAGAGTTACGAATGAGTGGATTAAATTGAAACATTGCGTTTAGGTGTCTCATCAGAATGATTTTCTGACACCCGGAGGAGACAGGTGAGATTTTCTGGCTCTGTGCCACGCTGATGGATGGAGGGAGAGAGTTCTCATGAGCAAGTGTCATCCAATCTAATCCAGGTGATTAGTCATGCATTCTCCTCTTTCAATGTGTGAGGCCCATTTTTCCCCCCAAACCAGGGGCCAGGTAACGTGAACTCTCAGGGAAAAGTATCAGTGTTGGTTTCATATAACCAGACACACATACGAAGAGACGTTCACGTTCTGTGCTGCTGCGTACTGTATGCAGACGAGCAGAAACAATGGCAGCCAGAGGTGAGAATGTTCTGTATGTCCTGAAGGTGACCCCCCTCGTTGGCAGACCTCCTAAATTCCTCTGGTCTGATGGGAGGAACGGGACAGATATTGTTATGGTGACCGGTCAGTGTGCTGTGCGTGATTTAAGTCGTGTTTAAAAAGCTTGACCAGCACACTTAACCAAGTAAGAATCCAGACACCCACTCGCTGTTCATTCTCATAACACGCAAAGTACTGCAATATGTTTTTATCTCTTGAGGATGCAGTCAAAACCAAAATGGTCTGGCTGATTTAGACTCTCCCCTTTGATCCTCGGTTACACTTAACGAACCGTTGACTTCATATTATTCAACTTCACCACTGTTTTTTCGTAAGTCTCGTTATTGGCGTGATTTATGCCTTCTTTCCCCATCATGCTGGTGCAGCGTCTATTGAAGAAACATGGATCTGTGTCTTGATGCTGAACATTTCGTACGCAGATATGATGGCTGACGATCTTGTTTAGTCTTGTATCACATCCAGACTTCAAACTTGTGATGTGGAGAGCACTTCATCGCATAGGGAACAGCTGTATTATGAGATAAAGCAGATATGGAAGGAGGACAAGAAGAAAGTTTATTTAACATGAACTTGAGAAAAAGAGTCAAGAGGCCCTCGGCACCTGTTATTTTTGTGTGTTTGTGTGTATGTGAGCACATGTCACATGTGACTATGCAGACAGCAGAGACAGACTAAGAGGTTAGGATGAAGAATACTGGCGTGTCTGATGCATATGGACTTCTTTAGAGACTCAGAGGGATCTATGTGTGTGTGCTCCGAGAATATTTGCTCTGGAGGACACAGGGAGAGATCAGACAAAACCCAACTTTCCAGCTCTCCATCTTCCTCTTACCGCTCATTTTTCCCCGCCGTCTTCATTGTTCTTTGTCCCCTTTTGCCCTCAACTTGTTAACGTACCCTTCCTGTTTCTGTTTGGCTGTGATAGGGCGCTGTCATCGACTCCTCCGCATCACTCCTTATAACAAAGAGTTTTGTGTTGATGATGCAAGCTTCTTTTTTTCTGTTTGTGTATGTATGTGTGTGCAAAGTGTGTGAGCGAGCACAGCAGCAGGGCTGGGCTGGGAATGTTTATTTACTGTGATGTGCTTGCTTGCTCCTTTGGCTCTAAGCACACTGTCATCACCGGGCATCATATTGACAAGAGAGAGACCAAAGTATGATTAATGACTGTCCTTTCTCCCCCTTGTTTTCTCCCTTGTCCATCTCCTTGCTCTGTCCCTCTTTGTGTCTCTTTGGCTGGCTCCCCTCTCAGAGGACCTGGATGACCTGCGGATGGAGGGCGTGACGGGCTTGGCTCCATCTGGCAGCAAGTTCAGCCAGGGACGCAGCTCCTATCAGCCTGAACCGCAGGCCAAAGTTACACTCAACATCTGCTCTAGGTGTGCCAGGTAAATGTTTCCACCTTCTCTTATCTGGTGCCCTAGAGAGAGATTGTGTTTTTATAAACAGCACAGCTCTGTCGAGTCAAAATTTTCTTTCAGGGATTTTTACAGAATAGTTTGACATTCAGAGAACTTCTCTTATTTGCTTACCATTTTTGTGTTTGTTGGATAGATACGGGACTACAGCCAGCAGGTGGTTGGTTTAGCAAATCACGCCAGACGAACATGAGAGTGGAATCAGAAAGGGCTATACAGAATTAGAGCTTAGATTCTCTGCCTGAGCCCGAGCCTGGCCCGAGCCGGCCCGCAGGCCCAAGCCGGGTCGGGCCGGGATCCTCGCCCCCCTCTGACGGGCCCAGGCCGGGCCTGGTCAGATATGACGTTTTTTTTTTTTGTTTGTTTTTTTTTTAAAGCTATGATTTGATAATGAAATGTTAAGGCTATGTATTATAAAAAGTAAAATTAAACCACACTTTGTATGACACATAAAGTTAAGATCCTATATTTCTGTCATTCAAATGACAAGAATTGTGGTTTTTGTTTAAAATGACCTGTTGAAGTGAAAAAACGAGTACTGACAGGAACAGAAGAGTGGAGTCAATGTTTAACTGGCGCGGAGAGCGCAGGAGAAATGCGCTGCCTGTGTGGACAGTCAAGCGCCTGCGAGTACACTTGCAGGACTTGCGTGGCACTAACGCGCTCACCGTGTGTGCCCAGGCACTCTTAATTATAACAGCCAACTTATTGAAAAATGCCAGGTTTAAATCGGGCTTGGGCCCATAATTACAGTTAATTGGGCGGGCCGGGCCGGTCCCGGACACAACGTGCACGGGCTCGGGCCGGGTCGGGCTCCATTTTATGGGCCCGATCTAAGCTCTATACAGAAAAGTGCCAGTCATAATGTTGACATTTGAATTCTAAATGAACATTTTTATGCTTCCATGCTGGCAATGGCGGTAGCCGGAGGCATTATATTTCTGGGTTGTCTGTCTGTCCCATTCTCGTCCTATTGTCGTCCCATTCTCATGAATGCGATACCTCAAGAACACCTTGAGAGAATATTTCTCAAATTTGGCACAAACTTGTCCTTGGACTCAACAATGGACTGATTAGATCTTTCTGGTCATAGGTCAGACGTCAAGCTCAATGTAACCTTGCATCTGTCTAATTCGTGTGAATGCGATATCTCAAGAGCTCCTTAAGGGAATTTCTTCCAATGTGGCACAAACGTACCCTTGCACTAAACAATGAACTGATTAGATTTTGGTAGTTTTAGGTCAAAGACCAAGGTCACAGTGACTTTGTCTCATTCTTGCCAACAAAATATCTCAAGAGACACCTTCAAGGAATTTCTTCAAATTTGGCACAAACATTCTCTTTGACTCACCAACAAACTGATTAGATTATGGTGGTCAAAGGCCAAGGTCACCATGACCTTGAATCGGTCACATTCTTGTGAATGTGATATCGCAAGAACACAAGGGAATTTCTTCAAATTTGGCACAAATGTCCACTTGGACTAAAGAATAAACTGATTGGAATTTGGTGGTCAAAGGTTTTTTATTTTAACCAAGAAACCATTGTTTCATGTCACGATGCCAAAGAGTTGGTGGATTCCAAGGTTTGGATCTCGGTAAGTTCAGTGGTCCAACCATAGATTTCAGTTCAAGCAGGAGAGACAGAAGAATGAAGTAAAGATAATATTTGATACAGAATATGAGTGCGCAGATTAACAGATGATTTGTGCTGATTAAGATTTAACAGAAGATTTGAGGCGGATGAGGCTGATTAATCCATAAAGACTAGGTGGTGATGAGGAGGTGGAGGGCACACATGACTGCAGCCAGAAAGAGCTACGGCAGAGAAAGAACCATATTTAAAATGAGCAGCAGTTAGATGATAGGCTGAAAGAGAAGGTGTGTCGCTGTGCTATTGGTTGATTGTGACTCAGTTGAAAAACAGCTGACGACTCAATTGACAGACCCAGACAATGCTGAACTTTAGCTAGGGCTTCATTAGTGGCTTCGCGGGATTGTTTCCGATTTTTGTGCTCCAAACATTTTCAAAACTTTGTAGTGTTGTAACGTCCAAAAAATAAAATTTATACAAAAATGGGAAGAACTAATTGTTTCCAAAATTCATCCTCATTATTTTCTTTCTAATAAAAATGTCTTAATCCATGTTTGTTGGCAGTTAGGCTTTCAAAAACATTTTCAATGAAGTCAAAAAATGTTTTTCTTTTTCTTTTTTTGTGTGGTGATGTCATAAAATATGGTGACAAATATTCAAAGCTGAAATCAAACACCTCGGTAGAAGCCTTCTCATCTCACTCTCGGCAGGAAAGCACATATGTATATGTAGCAAAATGTCAAACGCTCACTCTAAGGCTTTAAATGATATGAATTCAAATACATTTTAGCCACAGTAAGGTTGTGGTTATTACTGTAATCAGTTATTTCCTTTCATCATCCAAACCTGTTCTTATCCCAGGTCATGACTCCCCCTTGTGCCCTATCCATTCCGCCACCCACTCTCTGCAGCTGTATCAGAGGTGGCATACCTCAACATTCAGAATGGGGAATAATATCATATCTGAAGTGCATTCCGGTGTTGCTTGTTTTTACAAATCGGCCTGAGCACTGATAATCGTCTCCATTATCACCCTTTCTTTCTTTATCACAGTTTTTCTCTGCTGACACATTTCCTGTTCCCTCTGATCCCCAGCATCAGTGTAGTGCTCAGATTTCTGAGTGTTGGGTGTGATACCACAGACAGGTGTGGGCAGGACTCTTTCTTGATGCCAGTCAGAGATAAACTGGTATCTCTTCGATGAGACGCCATGCACACATCTGCCTGCACGGCCTCCTCTGTTTGGGGTTTGGAATTTGTTTGTTTCCTACTCTTCTTTCATTCATGCTGCTTATCAGTTTCACTCCACGCACAGGCTGCAGGATGTTGTCAGAGGACGAATGGTATCAGTGAATTTTTTTGCTGCTAGTTTATTGACTGGATGTTTTTAAGCAAATAGTTTATACCTTCAGCTTATCACCGAGTCCCCGGGTCGGATCAGCAACGGAGCAAAGCAGCATCTGTATCTGGAGCCGTTCTTGGCTGTCGCGCTCACTTTTTTCGTGACTGAAATGTCAGACATCTGTTCTCCCTCTCTGTCTTCGTCTCTCCTTCTCGCTCAGTCCAAATTCCTGCCTTGTCCCCTATAACCTGACCACAAAATCCTCCCCAAGTTTTGTTGGCGAAGGAGTCGTGGTCTTTCGTAGTCATTTTTGGTAAGTGCAAGGGCCATAAACAGATCACTAAGCTGGAAAAGTGTTGCACGCACGGTATGCCTTTTGTGCTATTCTGGTGACGCGTAATTCTGAAATCAGGAGGATCACACATATTCATGAAACACGTGCTTGCATGTCCTTGCATGCACTGCATGCTTCTGTGAGCAGATAGTGGAGGCAGAGGTCAGGGAGCAGTAAGGGAAGGAGACTTTATACTGTGTGCATTAGCACTCAGTCTTGATGAGATTACCAGAAACACCTTTCAAACATGGCTCAATATGAGGCCAACCTTTAAACTGACTGACCTGAGAACACTAACACATGTGGCACAGTGTGTTTCACACCTGAAGACAATACTACTGTACAGATGTGTCCTCGCTCAAGTTTTTAACGTAAGGTTAATTATTTTAGTTTAACATGAAATTGAGGCAGGTGGATCTTTTCTGATAGCATATAACTATAACTATATGACAAAGACATTAGAGGGTTGCCAGGCCCTGTATGGATCTATGAACACAGGCCGGAGTTGGACGAGCATTCCTCACATACCCATCACCCCTCCGGCAAACACATTAGAATGCAGCTCCTTTTTTCCACATGTGAGCTCTTCTGGGTCAGTGAGGTCCAGCTTTCAGCACATTAAACTTTTGTTTAAAAGCATTCCCACTGTATATGCTCCCTGTAGTTGTCTAAGTGGTCATATGAGCCCGAGCCACTTGGCTTTACCACACGCCACCCAACGCCAAGGAGAGGTGGCGCGTACTTTCACACCCACAGCGTGAAGGTGACAACTCGGTTCCTCCCCAGCGAGCATTTATTAATTTCCAGCAGCACTCCTGTATGTTACTGTGTTCGCAATCCACCTGCAATGTTACAGGCCAAGGACATACACTTCAACATGTGCAAAATCTTTAGAATGATTGTTTTAAAAAGACTGATAGTGTTTAGATATTATGTATAATGTAAACAGTAATATGTGTATATTATCTTTATTGCATGATGACATAATAACTGCCTTTAGACACCGTCCTCCATCATTCTCTTTTTCCTTTGCTTCTGTCCAGCCACTGTCCGTGCCACCAAACAGTCCAGTCAGCCTTTGTGGCTCCTAACAAGCAGTGGCAGGTCAGGAAACACGCCGCTTCCTCTGGCCTCTCCACTGGTCGGTTGAAGTGTAAAGTGCCGTGTGGCCTGTGTGTTGTGGGCATGTCTCTGTCTCTCGGGCTATAGCTGTGGTCACACCAGCATTTCATCCACCTCCTTCATGCACCCGATCAGTTCTTTTAATGGTTATGTGCTCCTGCCACAAAACCTCCTGTGTGCAAACGCATCCCAGATCTTGGGCACAGTCCGGAGGAGTTGGCGGTGCAGTCCATGGAAATGGATAGATCTCCACAAACCTCTTCTGGGCTTGTAGTTCTCATTAAATTAATTGCTTTCATATCAGGAATGCACTGAGGGAATGGTAGTCAAGACTTGCGGCTACGAGCAGCTTTTGTTCAGAGAATGGGAAGGCCTTGTGATAGTCATCTCGGGTACTTTTTAATGGTCTTATAAAGACCATTAAAGAGAGGGAGAGACAAGGCAAAGGATGTATAAAGAAGGAAAGAAACAGAATACACTTTAAAAAGCTGCGTTCTGCTTTTACCCTCGTCTTAGAGGTAGAAACCAAGAGGCCCTGCGGCTGTGACGGAATGCAGCCACGCCATAAAAGCGCATGGATTGCTTTCCTTTGTCTTCAGCTAATGGTTGTGCCGATGACATGGAAATAGCATGCAGCGAAAGCATATGGAGCTTAAGTAGTGTGTAATTACAGTTAATATGGTGCGATTTACAGTCGTCAGAAATATGCTTTAGAAAAATAAATGCAGTGTTTTTTAATTCCATGCGGATGTTGGAGTGTGTGAATTAGTTTGAGTGTAAAGGCAGTGTGTGTATGTTCCCGTTGAAAAGGTATTTCAATCACTGTTTGTCTTTCACCCACAGTATACTTTCCTATCTTAGGGAAACTTAAATCTTTTAGTACCTCAAGGAGACGGCCAAATCTCTGAGACCCGCTTCGATTTCAGTACAAACAGATATCTTAAAAAAAAAAAAAGCTATAGGGGCTTGGAACACATCTTGATAAAGAGCAGTAACTGAATGATTTAGGGGGAAACAGAATCCATGTGCCAGTTTTTCAGTTTTGCTTCGTCAGTAAGCAGAGTGAAGTCGCCTCTGAGACAAGTGAGCTGTGTACACTTTAATCCATGCACCACATGTCTGTGAATGCATTACTTTGGTTTCATGTCAACATGCTAAGGACTATTTCAGATTTACTTTCAGCAGGATGAACAGATAGGATTTGTGCCCCCAAACTGACCCCCATTTCCGTCTTTTTTATGATACTATCCCAGATTCTGCAGGAGAGCAGATCATAAACTCACTAAACACTTCCTCTTTGTCTCATCACCTCAGACTGATAAAGACGGGCTTGTCTTCTTGCGATCTGGGATTCAATTTCCAATCGTGCGTTGCAGTGTTGTGACTGTAAAACTGAAGATTTTCAGGGATGATTTACACGCACTTGACTGCCACTGTGTACGGTAGTTATATGTGTTACGTGTTGTCTCTAGGTTGCAGGGGGACAGTCTATCAGACGGCAGATCTGAAGAGGAGCACAGGCCTCACATATCTGAGCAAGCTGTACCTGACATCTCCTGTAAGTTACACAACACAGTTCAAATATAAATTTGTCTTTTTTTTTCTGTGGTCTCACACTCTGCTCTGTCGCTATTCTTTTCTTTCCTGTTTGTGTGTGTTGTCTGGAGCAGCTCCATTGCCCGGGGTGGACACAGTGGCGGGACGGTTGCAGGAATGCGAAGTCTTGTCTCAAGTGTCAGGCTCTGTAAGTGTCCTCCCTGCATCCATCACCAAACAATTAAGATCACTTTACAGCCATCAATTACCACGTCGCTCTCTCCTCCTCAGCCTCTATTGTCTGAGAGCGAGCGAGAAACCACCTCCAGCCTCTTGTTAATAGGACAAGACCCAAGCAAAACTGATCCATCTTTATGCGGGCAAATTTCAGCTTACACAACTGTTGATATCGCTGAATAAGCGATAGAAATCTCCCTATATCACTTTGCTTCCCTCTCAGGGCGATTGTGTGCGATATGAAAGGAATAAATGAAAAGAATATCTAGTGACACGACGGCAATTGAGGCTGATTTAGAAGTTTTATACAATAGACCTAAATATTTATGGGTTACAGGAGTACACACACTTTTGTTCAACAGCAGGATTGCGTGATAACCTCACACGCTTCAGGGGAGAAACCTATGGAGGCCTAATGTGGTACATGCCAGACTCAGACACAGGCAGACACTCACATGCTGTTAATAAAGCGGCCCGCTAAGACGCCGGTACCTTTTTTATAATTACCCTCCAAAAAGCGATACCTTTTTTTTTTTTTTTTAAATAATGGTCCAATCTAAGTGTTAGACAAGGCTTTTTACGGCATGTTTTAAAGAAAGAAAGGGCTTTGGAGCCAAGGCATTGCTCCGTGTGTGGAGCAGATGCAGAGAGGCTCCAGACTAACTGGGAGCAGACTTTGAGAGACTGAAAGACCTGTTGAATCAAAGCCTGTAGTCGGAAGTGTGAGGGATTAGGCCAAATACACGAGCGGCTACCCAGAAAGTAGCAAAACCGCGCACCTTATAGCATCAAACTGCCAGTCTTCTATTCATTCTCTCACATGTTTCATGTGAAAAGCTTAAACCAGATGATAGATGATGTCACGTCTAACTCAGAGATTTAAGATGATTAATTTACCCTCCAACTAAATCTGACATCCTCTCTAACACTGACCCTCACACCCACGTTGAGCAGCCACTATTCTGTAGCTGCTTATAAGGGACCAAACACTACGTCTCCATAGGTTAAGCCCTGTCTGGCATGCTTAAGAATAAGGTACTAATGTGTCCCATATGGAAAACACAAGTGCAAACGTCTCCTGTCATCTACTGTAGCTAATGTGGCTGTTTTGTGTTTTAATTGCTTGTGTTTGGCGGTCTTTGAAAGGCAAATGCAATTTGTAATAGCTTGTTAGTTTAACTGGGCCTTCAAGGGCTTGTGGGCCACGATCACTGAACGGTATGGAAAAAAAATGTAATGCCTTTATGGGCTTATTTGGAGAAACACAATGGATGAGGTCATACAGTATGGGAAGTAGCTTGGCTTCTGTAGATGATTGTGTTTCCTTTTTTAAAGAACAAATCAGTGTTTTATGTAATTTATCTAATGCTCCAGTACCGGTGTAGGTAGTGTTCCTTGCATTGGTAGAAAAGTGTCCATCACATGTTGCATCGTGTTAAAGAAAGGATGCAGGTAACTTTGTCTAGGTTTGAAATTTTGAAGCCGTATTTAATTATTATTAACACATTTCATCACGCTTGGCTGTCGTTAAATGAAGTGTGCCTTGTGTTGTATGTTGCCCTGGTCTGGGCAGTAAAAGGTTGGTGATGTTGGAAAGTAAACACTGTTAATGGTTATCGTTATTAGTCCAACAGGCCCCCTGCCTCCGCCAGCTCCTTTAGGTGATAATTGCCTCATAAAGACAAATACTTTCCTAAAGCAATCGCCAGAGCAAATTCTCCAAGCAATCCTTGTATAGTTTCCTTTGTGAGTGTTAAGTGATATGTTTTAATCAAATTTAGCTCTGTGTGGAGTTGTATGGGTGTTACCATCATAAAATCTGCCAGGGGGAAACTGTTCATTTGTATGGCAAAAAAAAGATAATTAGTGTGATGCCATGCCATGTGTATGATACAAGGCAGAGCCGTTGTGACGGTTTATTTTTGTTTCCAGGGGAATTTTGGCAGAGTTTCAGCCGATACACTGTATGGCTTTTTATATTTGGCAGCAGTCTGCTCTCCACACCTCCACAGTTATGCGTGCATGGTTATCCTCTGTGCAGATCTCTGTGATTTTAGAGCATAGCTCGAGTGCAGTTTTCCAGATTTCCCATATTAGTAGTTTTCGTTCGTTTGTCATCTGCGTGCATATGCCCTAAATTACTGTTAAAATACAAAGTGTCAGCTGTTTGTGCTGGTACAGTTTCATGAAAATTCTTTTAAATTATATTCTTGAGACAGGGTTTTGTTAGAATTGTTCTCACCTGCAGTTGCAACAGTTTCATCATTTGACTTGAGCCTAGAGGAAGTTGTAGGGGGTAGAACATAAACTTAAAGTTGCTTAAGATTTGTCCTAACTAAAAACTAGTACTGTGTATTGTAACTCCAAAGACTAAGCATCGTTGGAGAGGCATAGAGCAATAATACCTGTACAGTACTTGCCTTAAAGGAATACTTAACCCCCTAAAATGACCATTAGTATATTAATGACTCACTCGGTGTTACCTTGAGTTTGAAAAGATGACTTTTTTTTCTTGCATGTCTCCATGGTGAGCGAAGAATCCCAAAACAGAGGAAATTGTTGATAAATTGGAGTCATAGGGGGCCGCGATCAACAACAGCAAAACTATATCAAAACATCAGATTACAAACTGTCACACAACTCCTGCAGTATAATCCAAGTCTCAATGACCCAGTCGTATCCTCAGTACTTTCCAAATACATGGATTTTCGCTTAAACCTTAAAAACGCAGGTACACTACATGTTAGTGCATGAGACTCTTTATGTGGAAGTGTTTTAAATAGTCAGGTTTTACTGCAGAGACATGAGAAAAATAAATGTTTCTTCAGGAAGTCAATGTAACCTCATACGAGGACATCACATTTTGGGTTTTCTTGACCTTATACTTAATTCTGCTTAACTTAGACCTTTTCTGTGCAATCTAACGATAGAAAGAGCACAATAGACTAATCCATGGAAAAACAAGATGGCAGCCATCTCTGTCAAGTCAGCCTGCAGCCGAACCCGACACAAAAGTAGACAGGGTCCAAAATCTGATCACATTTTATGCCTGAAACTTGTTTATTTATCATTAATAATGTCTGTAGTTTGATATGGCAACAAAGTTGGCCAATTTTAGCAACAGTAACAAGCTAAGACACAGTTAATTAGGAAGTAGGTGTTGAAGACATTGGGACTTCATTATCGTCTCGTTTGAGGACATTGGGACTTACTAATCTTTGACGATGTTTAGTTTTTTAAACTGATCAGGTCCTACTGATCCCACATAGTTAGGAGAAATTAAAAATGCATACAAAACAAAAGTTTGGGTCTCAGGAGGATATAAATGATCATTTGGGGGTTGAAGTATTCCTTTCATTCTATTTGCATCTCACTGTGTCAATAGTTTAATAAGCAACTTTCAAATACTTAATTTATTTTGAGGGTTCTGCTAAATAAAGCAGCGACTTGAAGGCTTTTGTTTGGCAACAGATTGTTTGTTAATATGAGCCATATATTTTACATTTGTCTTTAAGATTATAATTCCAATCTAGCTGCTATTCGACACTCTCTAAATGAACAATATGAGTTCCTGTGCAGAATCCTCTCATTTCCCTGTGCTGGTTTTCACCCCGTTGCACTCCTGTTGGCCCAGCACTTCATCCTCTGTTGGTTGTTCTTCCACGACTGAATGATAGACAGTGCGTCATATAACCTGTCTTTGTAATGCTTGAATAAAAGTCTAACTGTGTTATTGTCAATATCCTGTTTGCTCTTGGCTGTGCTAACTCAGTGGTTGGGCCGGTGAGCTGGTGAGCCCTGTATACAGTCCATAAAATCCATTAGGTGATTGTGCTGTGAGCCAAAACAACAGGAACTCATTAAAAGTTCAGTGTGACTCCTCATATCCCAAATCCTCCGGTGGCTGTGCAAGGTAGAAAGGTCTACAAGAGCAGAATCGGTTAGTGGGAAAACATACAGCATCTCTTCTGTGTTGCAGGTAAAGGCACAGTTCACCCCAAAATCAAATATTTAGGCTGTGTTGGTGTGAGTTGCCGAGTGCTGACGATATCTGCTGTAGAGATGTCTTCTTTCCCTTGAATATAATAAAACTAGATGACTCTCAGCTTGTGGTGCTCAAAGTGTAAAAAAATATATATTTTGAAAAACTCAACAGTAATGTCTCTTTATAAAAATCATGACCTGGTTACTGAAGATAATCCAGAAAAAAAAATAGTTCCTACATGAAACTGTTCGCAACAAGGTCTGTAGATTATCTTGAGTAACCACATCATGATTTCTGGAAAGCGACATTTCTGTTTGAGTATTTTTTGGCGCTTCGAGCACCACAAGCTGAGTGCCATCTAGTGTCATTTTATTGGAGAGAAGGAAGACATCTCTACGGCCAATATCTCCAACACCAGCAACTCACACCAAAACAATCCAGACTGATAAAAAGCACTGATTTTGGGGTGAGTTGTCCATTTAAGTTTAGTGGATCAACCCATTTGAGGATTTGATTTTGACAGGAAAGATAAATAATTTTTATCTTTGTGCTTGTGTTAATCAACTGTTTTGATCCCAGTGTCCAGGATCAGTAATGCTTTACATCTGAACATGTTTTAAACAAGAAAATAACTAAATACCAGTGGTCTATGCTCATGTGCTATGACGAGAGATGATCTCTCCCCGCATGTTTGAAGGGTTGCTATCCAGCATAATCAAAACCTTTGTTGTTTTGGTTAGAATAAAAACAACCCATTGCTACAATACTCAATGTTCTCCATCTCACACATGTGCAGATCAGATCCTTATGCCGACAAGCTCCTATCTGCCAGGATCCTCTCTTCTCCGCTCAGACGTCAATGCATCCCGCACCTGATTTGATAAAAGCAGTGCTTGCTGGGCTAAATCACAGCATGCAAACTGAGCTCATGAGATGTGTACTGGCTTTGCAAAGCTTAAGTGGCAGTCATCCAGAATTCCTGAAAGTGCAGTTACATTTGTGAGTCTCATTCTGTTTTGTTTTTATTGCTAGAGGAGGTGCATTAGCATTTGATGAGTCATACAACCAAAAGGAAAAGCTGCTGCAATAAAATAGGGACTGCAAATACTGATATCTGGAGATAAAATAAGGTGTACGGTGAAGCTCAGGCAGTTTAAGAAGAACCTTAATGCAGCCCATGATGTGCAGTAGTAACAGTCCTTATAGAAAATGTCCACCCAACGGAACAAGTAGCCCCAATTTGCCCCGATTGTCCCAGTTAAATGCCTAAAAAATAAAAAAGAATGCTGCTAACATATGTATCAATGTATTGTTGTATGCTATACTGTGTGTGTTTGTGAGTGTTCGTCCTTGTGCTGCTCTGTCTGACCACAACAATAGAGTCCATCAATTGTGCTCTGCAAAGCCAGCAGTAGGCTCAGACCATGTTTGAGGTCTATGACTGCATGCACACATCCCGAACAGTTCATGTTGTGCGGAGGGCAATGTTGAACTGAACCCCAGATTGTGGTGATTATTACTGCTGACCACACACGTATAGCTGCACACATGCAGGCTATAAAATATTTAACTCCAGACTTCCATCCTCTCTCATTCTGTCTTGTTTGCTCTCAACATGGAATCAATTTTGCAAGAAACGAGATCCTTGTTTGTTAGTTGGGCAGAAGCATCACCAGAGGGTTTTTCCCCGTTTTCTCTTTAAGGTCTTTTAGTTTTGTCATACTGGGAGGGAGATTATACAACTTGGGTTTTGCGCCACTGACATTAATATACTCATAAGTCATTGCAAAATCCTGGCCACTCTTTAGTTTGGAGATGAAAAGGCATTCATTCTCTTCTCTTTGTCTGTGTAGATTAAAGCATCCGATCCAAGCATCCAAACAAAGGGGAAGAAAAGTTTGAGTCATTTGCACTCATGTCATACATTGTTGCTGATAAGGACAATGGCTGCTTTCAACTGTAGTGAAAGGAAATCGCTTTTCATCACGTCATTGTGTCGCCCTAGCGTGTAATCAAGTCCATTTTTGTTTAGGATTGGGGTTATTTTTGCCCCCATCTGCCATGTAGAGCCTCGCTGATTTGCACATGACTTTTTAATATGCACTATTATGGTGTGTGGACATGTTGACGTCTTCCAGGTGACTTTGTAAATATGTATGCCTCCACCAAACTTGATGTAACAACACTTGTATTTTGATGGTAATGTCTGTTTATTTATTGATGTTATCTAGGGAGGTGAATTGCTTGCAGACTCAGCATATCCTGTTTATTTGCCCGTCCATAGGACTGCAAAGCACCACCAGCCTTTAGGCCTGCAGTCTCCATGATATATGGTCCTGATTACAGAATAGTCTTTCCTGTAGTGGACACTGGAGCTCGAGGGCAGGAGCAATGCAAATGTTAAATTGCGGACATTGCTTAAAATGGGTAAATCTCCATGATTTTAACTCGTCTCATGAGGCAAGACTGGGCTTTTTAAAGGACTATTTTACCCCAGAAATGACAGTTTGTAAATCACTGAATTTAAGAGAAGAAAGAAAATTTTGTTTTTCTCACAGACCTCCATGGTGAACAAAGAATCCAAAAAACTGAGAAAATTCATGATGAATTAAAGTCATAAAAGAAGATATACTTTATTAATCCCAGAGGGCATATACACACAGGCCTGAAATACACACACATGCACAAACATGATCTATACATGCATTAAATGGAGAGATGTCAGGGCAGGGTGTCTGCCTGTGGTGCTCCAAGCAGTTTGGGGGTTGGTGCCTTGATCAAGGGCACCTGGCAGTACCCAGAAGATAAACTGGCACTTCTCCAGCTACCAGTCCACACTCCATATTTGGTCTGGATGGGGAGTTGAACCAGCGACCCTCCAGTTCCCAACCCAAGTCCCAATGGACTGAGCTACTGCCGTGACCATGCCTGTTTGTAACAACAGCAAAACTATATCAAAACACCTTTTTACAAAGTCCTACAACTTGTGCAGTATAATCCAAGTCTTATTTATCCAGTAATGTGCTCAGTATTTCCCAACCATGCAGATTTGCTAAAGTCTTAGTATTAAAAACTGAACTGAAAGTGAAACTAATCTCTGCTCTCTTCAAAGCCAGCACTATTGAAAAAAACAGCAATTTTACCTTGCAGAATTCAGGAGCTGCTGGTCTACCATTGGCTGGATCAGTTAGTTTGTTTGTGGTATTGTGTGACATTGGAGAATCCAAACTAAGCCTTTAAAATGCCAAAGTCACAGAATAATGCCCACTAACTAACTGACAGAGCCAGCAGTAGATCAGCAGCTCCCATGTTGAGTGAGGCGAAATTACTGTTTTTGTTAGTGGAGTCTGGCTTGGGAGAGAGCATTGCAGTTCAGTTTTGAGTACTTAAGTTTCAGCGAGAATGCATGTGTTTGGGAAGTACTGATTACACGATTAGATAAATGAAACCTGAATTATACTGTGCGAATTGTGTGAAAGTTTATAAACGGATGTTACTATACAGTTTTGCTTTTGTTAAATGCGTACACACCTTCTACTTCAGTATATCAAGAATTTCCTCAATTTTTTGGATTCTTCGTTTCCCCGACGCGGGAGAGAAACATGTTGTCTTAATGAATTCAATGTAACACAGGGTGAGTAACTGATATATAAATGGTCATCTGGTGGGTGAAGTATTCTTTAAAGACACTACAATTAAGTTTTTGCCCAGTAAACCTTTTATTGAAACCAAGTTAAAGCCTTGACTTCCAAAAGAATAATAGCTGTAACACCATACAGTAATGTAACGATGATTGGACGACTGGAAACTTAAACTAGGAAACTGTTGGTGGCCTTGTTTGCCGGCGCTGAGAAGACCCAGAGAGAGCGAAGGACAGGATGATGTCATGCTGTTGGATTTGGGGGGATACCACCAAAGAGAAAGAAATAAAGTTGGGGAGGGGATTCAGTTGTAATGCTCAGCTCGCCTTGCTTCTTTATGAGGGCTGTAATTAAGGATTGGCTTGTGGTGTTGTGGTTCTGCCACCACAGAACGCCTCATGTATCTGACAGGCTCAGAGATCAATGCCATAGACCCTGGGAATCATGTCCTGTCATTTATCAGGGGGTAGCAGCTTCACTTGTTTTTCACCCCACCTCCCCTTTGGAGACAGACTTTTAAGTCCACTTTGGATCCTGAAAGTCATAAAATGAGTATCCTGCTATATCCCAGGTTTGTCCTTAAATGTTATTGGAAGACTGCGCTGTATGTATATCACCACATCTCCCAGAGCCTTTCTCTGTGTCAGCACTTTGTCAAGTTAACTCTGTCTCTCATTAAGTGCTTAGCACATTGAGTGATGTAAGCGCTGGCATTGGCGGTATCGTAACTTATCTAGTGTAAACCAAACTTACAGGAGGTGGAATTATGGCTGACAGATTTTATTTCTCACCTGTGCTTGAAGCTCATGTGCACTTGGTCCGTTGGCTTAACAGATCAGCCGGCCACTTGTGTCCCATCAAAGGAATAAATAGGGGGATTAGGCGTGCTGCCATTACAGGACTTGGCAACCTGACTCTGTCAAACAGGTCCCTTTCCAAATCATACAGTTGGCCTCGAGTCCCAAAGTAGCCCCTATAAGTGGTCCAATCTGCTTTTTAGAATTTATTTTCTTTCATATGCTTTGGAATATGATCATCTTTATTGTTTGTATTATACCAATATCGTGCGCTCTAAGGGAACCATCCCAACCGGCTGATTTATTGTTCCTTAGCTGCTGGTGCAAGATTTGCTGCTGTCAGGCTCCTTGCCAACAGACTAGTGTGCGTACAAGCTCCTATAGATTTACTGATAGTTATACAAAAATGTCCTGAACCACTACTGACAGTCTCACGTCCCGCATTCACTAAACAGAGATCACTGCATGCTCTGTGCTTTCATCTGCACTTGCTGTGGTTTCGTGTGTTTTTCTAAAGCCCATAAAATAATAATTGCCCCCTTTTTTTTCCAGCAGATATGGCTCCGATATTTCCAGCAATAGCTGAAAATTATATAAAGAGTTAATTGAAGGGTCTTTCTTCTAATGTGACTTTCTCTCTTTTCTGTTCTCCTCGCTAACTAGCGTCAGGCTGTCTGGGAGGCTGATCTGAAGGCTGTGAGAGGTGGGAGCTCTGTCGGGCAAACGGGCCTGCTACTGGGTGACTCCCTCTTTTCTAAAGAGCTGGAGAACATGGGCAAACAGCTCGCTGGTAGGATCTGTGTGCTGTGTCTGTGCATATATGTACGTTTGTCTGTGTATTTAAAAGTGGCTTTAATGATGAATAGTATGGGTAAGTCTGATCAAATACTTTCTTTGGAATACAAAAGTTAGTCTGCAGTGTGCAAACATTTATAACACACACACACACACACACACACACACGCACATGCACAAACACACACAGTAAAAAGACTTATGAAATATAAAGGGCTTTAGAGAGCACTTATGAGGAGTGGGAGGGGGCGAGTCCAGCTAAAGAATGCACAGCTTTTGGCCAAAGGATTTTCCGGGTTAATTAAAAACTAATCTTCCTGTGAAATGTGTCAAGACTAAATAGAAAAACTAATTAAAATAATTTCCACATGCCATGAATTAATCTCAAATCCAGCTCTGACGGGGGTCAATCAATAACTGCAGCTCTGCTGAGTCATTTGGAAGTGATCGAAGCCTAACGGAGCTGGAGACTGATTTCATTTGACAAAATGGAATTTGTGTGGCATTTTGGGAATCATTATTCCTAATGCAGTTCAAGGCTCATCTTTGACATATGTGACGTCTGGGTGACTCAGAGACTGCTTTTGTTGTCATGATGATCAAGTGTGTATCCACTTATGAATCAGATGAAAGCCCGGAGTGGAGGCCAAAGGGAATGTCGCCATTTACCATCATGTGTCACCCACTTGTTTGTTTATACATGTCCTCCCACTCTGTTGGACAGCGTCACTGTCTGTAAAGACCTCGTACGCGCCTTCACATACCAGACTTATTTGAAGCATATTGGTCCTACTTAGTGAACCTATTACTGTCACCAAACAGTGGTCCCAGCTGCTCCAATCTCCTCAGCTCATCCGCACATCGGTGCTCAATAAATACGCTGGTTCCTTCCGTGCCTACAGAACAAAACAGCACGCTGGTGCTTAGGAGACACTAAGGGGGACTATTTGTGTTAACAACACACTTAGTTTTGCCCCAGAGGTCCTCAGATGGCATTCATTTCTAGTTGTTTTACGCCGAGTTACTGAATATTCAGGCCGAGGGCTCCCACCGCGCAGTTCAGTGAAGCTGTTCAACGAGCTAATTCAGCTCTTTCAAGCCTTTATTAGCTGCTAATACTTTCCATGTTCAGAGCCAGGGCCTCACTTTTCATCTTATATTGTCACCCCAATTATGTGGTTGTGAAATCAGCCCTCATCTGCCTTTTGTGATATTGTGAAGCCCATGTGTTCTTGGTTTTGATTTTTTCCACACAACACAAATGAATTAATGCTCACTAAATTTGTTATTGAATCATTTTATTAAGTGCAGTTTAATCTGAATGTAGTTTCCCCAAGGGATGGCTATTGTTTTAAAATGTTCTGTCATCGGTGATGCAATACATTAGTTTTAGGAGTATAAAGACATTTAAACCCCTTTTTAGAAAAAAAATGCCAAGCTGCTGAATGACTTAGCGTTAAATTAAGACTTTTGCTTACCTAAGTTTCCTGATCTAGAACCAGAAATAACTGATTAAAATGCAAGTAAACAAGGCAATGAATCCTACTAAGCTTTCGATAATGGCTTTTAATTATTTTTTATACTGCTTGATACTTAAGGGGACCTATTGGGCTTGTTTTCGGGTACAAAGTTGTATTTTGGGTTTCTAATTTAACATGTTTACATGCTTTAATTTTCCAAAACACTTTATTTTGCCTCATACTGCCTGTGCTGAACACTTGTATTCACCCCTCTGCCTAAGGCCTCCATGTTAGCATTTCCATTTCTTGGTGTCTCTGCACTGTCATAGCAGCCAGGGAAGGACTGTAAGGCCCAATCCCAATACCCCCCCTTGTCCACTACCCCTTGGCCCTCAAAATGAAGCAACGAGGGGTAAGGTTAGAAATCTTTCCCTAGGAATTAGGACACCACTCACTACGTCACCGCGTTGGTTACGTTCACGCATACGTAACTGTTTTAAACAGGAAGCTGCAAGCCATCTACATTTCCAACCGGCATCTACAATGGAGTCTCATTCATCCTACCGATCACAGTTGCCGCATTGATCATGGTTCGTTTGATGAATGACAGATGACAGGGGACTTATGCTAGCTAGCTAACCAGCTAACATCACGAGGCAGCATAATTATACTAGCTGGCGTGTTATCGTAATGTGAAAAGTTTTTTGCAGAATAGGACAGCCAGATAATGCGAGCTAGCTAGCTAGCTCACAAGCAACCTGATGACAGTAACATTAGCTATGTATGAACTTTTTTCCCCGTCTCTTGCTGGTAGCCATGGCGACGTCTACCCCTCGCTGGCAAGTCAGCATCTGAAATCCCTAGCTCTGAAGGGCTAGTTTCATACCCACTACCCCTCGTTGTGCCCCCAACCCCTACACGCAAACAGGAATTGGGACACCACTACCCCTCGGGTGAACGTGCAATGAACGTGAAATGTAGGGGTAGGGCCAAGGGGGGGTATTGGGACGGGCCCTAACACAGTATAGTGTCACTTTCTACTGTGAAAAATCACCAATTAAAGTTTCTAAACCAAAATCTTGTTTCAGCAGGAACATGACCCAAAATCGAAGAGAACTTAGCAACATCAATAAAGATTACATGTTCCCTAACGTTAGCATGTTGCTACATGTAGCAGCGGACTTGCAGCCAGGGAATAACTGTAATGGAGTAACATATAAGCCCTGTTTCCACCAAACACTTTCGGTATGGTATCTGTGGGACCAAAAGTAACCCTTTAGACATGGTACCTAGACCCTAGCGTTTCCACTGCAAACAGTACTCTTTCATGTGGGTGGGTTGTTGTCACTCACTGCTCCATCCAGCACTCACTGTATTTCCTCCTTTATCAGTCTGCAACTAGTTTATCGTCCACAGAACGAGGCTGCACGCTGACATTTTCAGAACAAAATATAACAGGCTGCAGAGAGAGTCTCTCTCCATGTGATTTTTAAGAATAGTGGGCTTGTGCGTTTAGTCCTTCTAAGACAAGCTCAGGGGTTTAGTGTTGCCGGAGCCCACAGGAACAACGTTCTACAACGCTTTTTTTTCTCCGAGTGAGGATTAGCTTGAAGATCCTCTCATAACTAAAGGTGTATGTCATCCAAAAGAGACAATAAAAACTAAAGTAATGGATAAAGTTGTCACAGTAAAAGGTAAATTGTGCTGATGGATTCACGCCGTCAACTCATGCATTGAATGACAGTAAGTAAAGTAAATAAGTAAGTTAATGTTCCGTCTTAAAAGTCGCCGGCAGTCGGCCCAGTGAATTAAGTAATTTTTCTCAGACTACAACTGTTGTGAGAGGGAAAAACACATCATTTCATTTTATAGTTAGAGTCTGCCAATGTATGTAAAACTCTCCACAGTATGAACAGTGGTTACATGAGTTTCAAAACCAGACACAACTCAGCCCTGAGCAGAGTGACTGTCCTCTATTGACCAATCAACGGACTGCAGTGTTCACAGCTCCACCTTTTAGTTCCAGATCTGTGTGCTAGGTACCCCAACAGAGGGGGGACCAAAAATGGGGATGGTACAGAACGGTTCCATTGGTACCATCCTCAAGTTTTCACAATTGAAATTGCAAAAAAAAGCGTACCGAACTGAACTGTACCACAGTGCTCGGTGGAAATGGGGCTATCGTGGCACTCTCTACTGTAAAAAATCACCAATAATGTTTTTAAACCAGGTCCCCTTTAATGCTACAATTACCCTTTAGGTCTGTACTTTAAAAATATTGAGGCTCTTAGTGACACCATATTAGGAACATGTACTTCTACCCATTTTGTACTTAATGTATCTATCCAAGGACAATAGTTGATATTAAAGTTTATTCTGGCCGGCAGTGTATTGTATTGTTGGAAGCCGGCAGTAGAATTACAGACAAGCGATGTGTCATTAGCACTTTCGTTTATTTTCAGAGGAGGGACCTAATAAAGTTTGCATGAGCTCTGAACGGTTGAATAGCGTGCTGTGGCCCTGTAGTCTCTCACCACGTGCAACCGCTTCTTGATCAAAGACTTTAATAGATCAGATCTGTTTCTATTTCTTCTTGTCTCCTTCTCTCTGTCTCATTTTCTCCTTGTCTCTCTTTTTTCCCCCCGTCTTTATTACTGAATCAAATCTTATCAAAGGTTCGTACCATATGGATTCTGATGCTGCCGCTTTGATCTCTCTGAGCCGTCGTTTTACATCAGCGTCTGTGAGATGGCTTGTAGTATCTGTGCATTAAACACTGCACAGAATTTCACAATAAAGCTGCTTGTGATGGGTTGCTCATTAATGCCAGGAAGTTAGGGGAAACAAATGGTTTACAATAAAATCATGTGTGGAGCAACCATTTACGGAAGGGGGGAAAAGTTTCACAACAAAAACATGTGGTGTTCATCATCGTACTGGTAAATAACCTGAGATAAAAATATCAACTTTATGGGAACAGATTACTAATGAACATATCCTGTTTACAATAGAGTGATAACGTCAGTCGTGGTGGACTTGGTGTGGGTGGTTAAGAGCTTTAGCAGGGGAATCATCATATGTGGAACTTCCGTTTTGGCCACTGTCTAGCCTTGCATGCAGACCATCAACTAAATAACAAAGCTTCTTTATGGTTTGTAACGTTACATACTGCAGTCCTGCCACAAGCTGATGTCACGGCACGCCCTGAACACCTCACATAGTTAATATCTTCCAACTTTCAATCAGAGGGAGGTCAAGAAAGGCCAAGTTGTAGCCTGTATCTTTAGTTTTCCTTCTATTATATAGAGAAGTAACATGTGTAGAATGCACCAGGGTTAAAGCAACACAGACACAATGTCACACAGTACACATGCACATTATTGAGCACACAGCACTACGCAGTATGTGCTCTGCATTGTATCTCACTCCAAAGGTTGGCCTCCATACAATCAGAGCTGATTAAGCACAGAAACAGCAATCTAATTATGCATGTCAGAGAATTAAATGTTTTTGATCCCTGAAGGATTGTATACAAAACAGTCTGGAATAGATTTCAAACCAACTCAGTAATGTCTCAAAGCTGAATTTGGAGTAGTATCGCAGACGCGTTCGGCTTTGCATAGTAAATGGATATTTGTAAGCGAATCGGAGCATATGCTTCACATTTTTGCGTGGAAAAATGTTGTTTGCATATGATGGGGAGGAAAAAAGCACAATTTGCTCCAAAACAAGGAAGTCAAGGTTTGTGAAATACTTGTCATGCTTCCTTTTGCTATTTATTTAACGTCACACATATACAGTTTTCCAGAAATACTCGCTCTTGATGAGTCATTCCTGAAATTATCCCTCTCGAATGATAACTCCCAGGCTGGTTTGTTGAATCCCGATTGCCAAGATTTTTAACAAAAGCATTAAACACGGAAAAAATGACACAGATGTTGATCATAGAAGTTGGCAGCGTCACTCCTTTCACAAACAGAAATGTTTTTGAGACTACCAGTGAGGCAAACAAATGAGTTTCTGTCAGGAACAGGGTTTTTTATTTTTTTTACCGCTGCGCTCGCTGTATATCAACTTGGAACCTTTTCTGACGGAGGAAACTGGATTCACCACAATTTACAGTGCCTATAAATATTGTCATCATTGCCAAGAAGAAGGATTAAAGCAAGCAGTCTCGCCCACTTTAATGCTCAGTAAAGTTTGTGAATCATCCGTCTTGTAGGACACATACTAACCTCACAGCACCACCTGAGAATATGTAATAAAAAATAAGCTTGACTTTATCTTAGAGTCTCCTGAGATTCCTGGGCTTTGTGTTGCAGTCTTTAAACATTGTCATGTAAAAAAATAGGATTGCACTCACTGCCACAGTTACAATATTTATTGATCCTTATGTTGTAGATATGAAATCTGGGTGTTGACTTGGATTATCTGCCTTTTTGTCCCTCCAGAGGTTGAGAAGGACCTGGCCAAGCTGGCAGAAGTAGGGAAGATGACCACCCGGAGCTCCAACAATCCGCACAGTAGTCTGCTTCACACCCCTCTGCGCCACAGAACACTCCCCGACACGCTCCCTCTCACCAGCCTGCTCTCCAGACCCCAGTCTCCAGTTGGCAGCCTCTCAGGCAAGCCCTGCAGCGTAGGCCTCCCTCTGCTCAGCCCCAAGCCCACCTCGCTAGTCATGGGTCGGACTCAATCTCCCAGCAACCCCGGGAGCAGGACTCAAACTCCCAGAACGCCCAGCAGGCCCCTGACCCCGAATAGTTTACTGACACGCTCCACCTTTAACCCTGGATCTCATAAAGAGGTGACCTTCAGAAGGTCACGGAGCCGCCCTGTGACGCCCACATGTCAGCCCACACATCCCCGACCGCTGCTCACCCCTCCTGGACTAAGCACTACAGACAGCCTTGGTGCCAGCCTACGGGCCTATCTGTCTGAGGTGAGACCCTAATATGAGAAATATATGTTTAGTTTCCAAAACACCTTTGCTGCTCACTGCTCAGAGGTCATTAAAACAATATTCCATGACAAGGTTTCCCAATACAGGTAATATTTTTTGCAACACAGAGACAACTAGCAGGGCCTTTAATTTTGTAATGATCAATCTCGTGAGTGTCAGTGCTGTCAGTGTCACTGTAAAGGAATAGTTTGGCAGTCAGAGGATGATTAGCTGGCCTTAGCTTGGCATAAAGACTGAAAACAGGGGAATAGCTACCCTGGCTCATGGCAGCTTTTAGCCAGAGAGTGAAATTCATATAATTCCTTTTATTGAGACATTATCTTTCATGGCCATGGTGTTGACTCAAATTCTACAGATCACGTTTGAGTTATTTCTCACATTTGTCAAGCAATGAAATAGATCAAGAACAGCACAGTGTGTAAAACAGAGTTAAATTGTCATAAACTCTGGTTTAAGGGCTTGAAAATCGCTCTAATTTTATTGTAATTTTTTCGTATGTTGAGACTGAACTTGAGTGTCAAATCGGCTCAGTGCCCGAGTAAAGCTGGCTGTAGAACATGAGCGCCTTTACACAGATTATGACTGAGAGCACCAGAACACACAATGTCACACATGTGCAGACCCTCGCAAACACTCACACACGCTTCGTGTGGGGTTTAGCAGAGAGTCATGGAGGTCCGTACAGTAGGATGTCATTTTACTGTGGAAAAATGAGTCTGGCATAAAAGGCGAATTTTCAGTGGGGATTTCTTTCTTATATTCCTTTCATGATTTACTTAACAGCAGCGCTGTTAAATACGAGACCTTTTTGAAGGCTTTATTAATGGTGGGCAGGAATTTTGCAGTTCCTCTGTATACTCTTTGACAGTTATGCTAGTTGACACCTACTGAGATTATCCAAAACACCCAGTGCACCCAGTCAGCTTTTATTGAGGCCACCTGGTCCCATGTAGACGGACTGGGAGGCCTGCTTAGAGATTTAAAGGAATACTTCACCCCCCAAATGATAATTCAATTACGCTGAAATCAGGAAGAAAACAGTTTTTGTTGCATGCCTCCACGATTAAGAATCCAAAAACAGAGAAAATTCTTGATGAATTGGAGTAAAATGAGGCCATGTTTATTAACAGCAGAACTATTTCAAAACATCCGTTTACAAACTTGCACTTTTTGGCTGTAGGTGAGACTGTTTATGCGGGCGGAAGTTTTTAAATAGTGGTTTCAGCAAAAATGCATGTGTTTAGAAAGTACCGAGCAAATTACTGGATAAATGAGACTTGAATTCGACTGCACGAGTTGTGTGAGTTTGTGAACACATGTTTTAATATAATTTTGCTGTTGTGAAACGCGGTTGCATCTGACTTCAGTTCCTCAAGAATTTTCTCTGTTTTCGGATTCTTTGTTGACCATAGAGGCATGTGAGAAAAACCAAGTTTTCTTGTACAAGTGAAAACAGGGTGAGTCATTGATTACAATCAATTATTTGGGGGATGAAGTATTCCTATAAGGAATCCTAAACCTTTTTGAATACTGAATGTTTAAAAAAATATGTACAGTATACGCTTGTGATCTTGTTTTTCTTGACAACTACTCCTTTGATTACTTGTGTGATCATTTACAGGTTTGAAGCTCTATCATTTTAGCACTGAAAGCTAGGAAGACATAACAGTCTTCTAGGTAGCATGGGAGTTTTGCCCTGAGAACTTTCAGTATGTAAGATGATTGTTTGTAGGGCTACCACTAACGATTATTTTCATTGTCGACTGATGTGTCGATTATTTCTTTGATTAGTCAACAAATCATTTTATCGAAAAATGTGTTAAAATGTTGAAAAATGTCAGTCTGTCTCTCCCAAACCCCAAAATGATGTCATCTAATGTCTTGTTTCGTACTCATGCCAAAGGGTTTTAGTTCACCGTCGTGGGAGAGTGTGTAAAGCTGCCAATATTTGAACGTAAGAAGCTGTAATAAGAGTATTTTGGGGTACTTTTATAGTACTTTTCTATAGAAAATGACTCAAACCGATTAGTTGACTGCTGAAATAGTCACCGATTATTTTAATAGTCGATTAGTCATCGATTAGTCGACTAATCGTTGCAGCCCTAATTGTTTGTGTCTCAGGTTTTGACATCTTTGGTTTAAAGTGAAATGAAGAATTGTAAGTACCTTTTCTTTGACCCGCTGCTCATTTTCATGGGGTCATTACCGCTTTTCACATCACACCACTGAAGCTTTAAACAGGAAGAGGAAGACGTATGAATGTGAAGACAAAATTACTTCAGATTTGATGTTTGAAATCTAAAACTGCTAAATGAGATCTTGCAGCTGGACTCATTACATATTCCTGTACATGTTTTCCTTTCATTCACAACAAGACCTTGAGTAAGACACCTACAGTCTAGAGACTAACAGATGGATACATTAACAGACCGATTGACAGAATGATTAATATTCTCTTTTCCCAGCTGTGTTTTCTATCTCCATTTCCCTCTGTCTGTTATCACCGCTGACTATGAGTTAACACAGTCTTCCATCATCTATGTTCTGCTCTATTTTTCCACATCAGGATGAGTTTTACCAGCAGTTACAGGCCATCCGACAGCCTTGGCATATTCCCAGTGACACAGACAGTGACATCCTGGAGCCTCCTGAGCAGGATAAGAGTGAGTGACCTATCTGTCTCTTCTGTCAGTCTTTTTTAAACCCTACATTAGATTGTTTATCCGTTCCTCAGACAGGTTTCCGTCACAGGAGAGTTTGCTGGGAGGTTCTCGGAGCCTCTGAGTTGAATCCACAGTTCACACATTTGACAAATTGCAGCTCTAATCTTTTTACCTTCCCGCAGTTTTTTCTTCCTAAGACGTGAGGCTCATTTCATTACTGTAATGTCACTTTACCACAGCGGGTAGCTAATGCATTTACGTAGCTATAGATCTATTAAAAAGGGAAGATTAATGTGAAAGTACTTCTTGTAAAATTTTGAGATGGAGCAAAAAGGCTGACACGTGAGAATTTCCATATTTCACAGCTGGGTGAAATCCTCAGGGGTTTCATAGGGGGGGAACACTGTCATGTAGAATTTCCTTTCTGGCCTCTTGTAAGAGATATATCTCTATCAAGATCCAGTTGATAGACACGAACAATTCTTGCTCGAAAGTCATGAAGCAAGTCATAGTAGTGGTCTGGCCGGGATACAGTGCAGCATATTACTCTGGCTTTGAACATGACAGAATTAGATCAGACCTCCTTGGATGTTCTGGAGCATAAATCACATGAATGTATGAGGCAGTATGGTCTGATTGGCAGGGGCTTGTAGTTCTCAATTCACTGAGGTCCACTAAAAAAATGTCAAATTTATGCCTGTTTAACATTGGTTAGCATATGGTGAAACTTCTCTGAATCTCTGAGATGTTTGTACGGATTTATATAGTGGCTGGACTAAATGAAATTAATTATGTAAACATTACATATTTCTCTAGAACAAGCAGTTTTAGGGCCTGCTGTGTGGGGCATGAGGATGTTTGACAGAACAAACAGGACTTTGAGAATTCAGCTCGTCTAAGGCCAAGTCCACACGTACAGAGGTATATTTGGAAACATAGTTTTTCTCTGCGTTTTGTTTATTTCTCCCCATGCAGATTGTTTTAGGTCACTGAAAGCAAACATTCTGAATATCTCTCCAGGGTGAAGTTTTTCAGAAACTCTGTCACAGAGATATGCCCTTTTACTAAGCCCAGCCCCTTTGTGATGGTCTGACAAGCTGTCAGAATAAGCGTGGAGCCCACATTGTAACTAACTGCACTCCCTGAAGAAATACTATCATATTTTTGGGAAAATGAAAGAGTGATTCCAGAGAGAAGCAGACAGAGGGGTCTACAGTCTGTGTTTGAAGGATATATCCAGGATGTCAAACTGACTCAGCAGCAACAACAGGTTAAAAAGACAAAGATAGTTAGAAGCTAAAGCCGAACTATAGGCTACAGATCACAGTGTAAAAGTGAACCACCACATCACTGCTGATCACCACACAAGACAATGAATATAAAGGGAAACCTAGCTGATATTGAACCAGCTGTGTGGCATCACAGTGTGTGCAGATGAGGGATGAAATCAAACAACGTTCATCTGCACACACTGTGATGACACACAGCTGGTTGAATATCAGCAAGGTTTCCCTGCTTCCCTTCACTGGTTCCTGTACAGCAGGGTTGGTCTTTGTTTCACTGTTATAATCCTTAAAAAGCAAAAGCAGCATGTGTATACATTCAGGAGGCTATATCTTCAGTAGCTAGCTAGCTAACCCTACACTTTTCAGGGTTTGACTTTGGTTTTGGAACAGGGAAGAAACGTATATCTTTTTCCAACCTCTCCAGGTAACGAGTATCATTAATACACGATGTGCCCCAGGCACAACATTTAGCTCCAAATCCACAGAACCAGCCTGAAAATGAAGGAAATCTGAAACGACTGCATTAGAGTCAATGGAGCAGAGCTGTGTTGTTGTCGGACCCTGGTCTGAGCCGGCCCGATGCTACGTTATGATTGGCCAGTCTGCATGTAGGGGGCGGGACTTAGTGAAGGATCAATTGAGTTTTTGGTTTATAACATCACAGTGTGCACCGTTATTTCACAGAGGTGTCACAATTGAGGCAATGATCCATGACAGAATACAATAAATGTAATGAACACCAAACTGAGTTTACTCCCCCAGCAACATATTTCCATTCTGAATTTGAAAAAATGAGTGCGTTTACATGGACATGAGTAACCTGTTTATGATTGGGTTTTTTGGAGTATCCCAGTTATGTGTTAGAGCATGTGAACACCATATTCTGTTTATGAGAAACCTGAATATGCTAGCTTGAGTACTCTGAAAGAATTCAGGATGTATACAGGGAATATCATATCCTGAAAATGATCGTAACCGGGCTTAGCCTCATAAACAGGTTATTCTTGTCCATGTAACCACCCACATGTTTAGGTCTCCAGTGAAGGGAACCTGTATGAGGAAAAGGTCATCTTCCTAATACTGTTTAGACTGCAAAGTGGGAGTGGATGTGAGAGAGTGAGTCAAACTATTACAAATATTGACCCCTAGGATGTTACCCAAGTCAGATTTAGGAGTAAAATGTGGGAATTGTTGGTGAGTGTTTCACACAAAGGAGCAAACTTAAAAATATCTAAAAGATGCAAAATTGGTAGATTGAATTTTTGAGAGAGTTGTGAGAAAGATCCATACACACCTTCAATATATCATTAGAGTCCTTGTTGCCTTGAGCCCTTTTTCTATACCATCCTCTTTTTAAAAAATCCTCATCTAAGGAGAGACAGTATAAAGGATTTTTGACTAAAGGTGAGAGAATCAAGAGAGACTGTAGACCAAACTGTCCTCCAAATGGAGCCCAAAGCTGAAGAGAATGATTCAAGATACGGTTTAAACTTGTCCGAGCAGACGCTAGAGGAAAACAGTAGGATGAAATAGCAAAGAGGCAGGCTGATTTACAAGATGCTTCCTCTATTACAGCCTCAACAGAATTCCAGTCCATAATGGCCCTGAAACAAATGAAGAAGACTATGGATGTTGGCTGACCTGTTATATATCTGAAAATGAGGGAGCACTAAGCCACCATATTTTATGATTTTGAAGAAAAGCCTTTGATTCTAGCAGGGTGGTTATTCCAAGTAAATGATGGGACATGTTGATCAAATAGCCTGAAAAAGGATTTGGGAAAAAAAATGGGATTCTTAAAGTTAAGTAGAAGCAGTAGGGACAACCATCTGCTAAAGTCTTGACTTGATCTAGGAGAGAAGAGAAATTTAGGGTGAACAGGTCATTCATTTGTTTGAAGATTTTAACTCCTAAATATCTAAAATGATCAGCAGTTCTCTTAAATGAGGCCACATTTTGTAAAGTTGCACATGTGGCTATATTGGTACTGATTCTAACTTTGCTAACAGGACTTTTTATATGTTTACACAAATGTACAGTTTCTCTTCCACGTATGAGTTCACTGCTCCAGGTAGCCTTCAGGTGATGGCTTTTTTCAGGCTTCTGTTTGGCCAACATCTTCTTCTTCTTCTTTTTCATCTTTGTGTGGCTTTAAGGTTACGGTTATGTTGTCACCTGTTGGTATGGCATGCTTCTGGCAGCACTCAGTGGTGTTTTTGCATTTTCATTTGGGCATTCAGTGCTTGTGTGGATGGGATTTTTTTTAAAACTAAGAAGAGAAAACTCCTGTTGTCAGAAATGACAGTGTGAGTGTAGACTAGGCCTTAGTCTTATGAATAGAGGAACATCTGTTGCTATGGCAGCACTAACAGAAAACCCATAACCTTGTTAAAATCAGCATGTTTTACGCCCTGGGAGCGGGAATGTGCTCAGCAAATTTCAAGATTAGAATTACCAGATCATTGTGAGATAATGGTAGGCAAAGTTGATGCTTGTAACGGAAATCCCCCACACAGTACAAGTGGTAATGCAAACAGAAATGTTGGCCTGGTAAAAAGGTGACAAATTGAACAAAAACATGATGATGAATCCACTTGGAACAATTAAAGTCCACTTTTATTTCTATGGAAAGCGAGCCATTGGTTATTGAGATATCTTTTGGACCTGAGCATTTGTCAAAGAGAAATTCTGACCCTATTACTCAAATTCATGCTAATCTGTCTGGTAGTTGTCCAGTTGCTCTGGACCAATGTGTTTGATCGACAGACAGATCAACAGCCAAACCAGCAGACTAACAAACTGACTGCTGTTGCCGTGTTGAAATCCCACCACTACTGGGGTAAAAAATGGCAGCCCTGATGTTAATTACGACCAAGTCCAAAGATGCAATGACTTAAATGTTCTCAAATTAACTTCGACCTGTTTTCTCAATAAACAAAACATCAGCATCCGCTACTCAAACTGAAAATCAAGTGCACGTGGGACTTAAAAAGGCGGTTTTCATTGACGTTATGACACAAGAATTCCAGTCAAACAAAAGATCAAGCAGGCAAATGGTTGTCACATGGAAATATAACCCTTCTGACAAGTTCCTCTGGAGGGTCATTGCTTTGCCAAATGTGTATCTTGCAAAATAAATGGATAAATTTTCCTAATAGCCCCTGGGGTCCTGCTCTAAGTCTTGGCAGTGGTAATGGCATGTTGAGAAAGGATATGAGCCACACATTGAATTAGAGAAGGCTCAGGCGCAGGGAGAGAGAGACTGACAGGGAAAAAGAGACCCAACAGCCACAAGACGTGACAAAGCACTTTTTGGCGTGAGAGAGGGCCCACAGGACTGTTCGCTGAAATCTGGTTTGTACAGTATGTCCTTGTGTGTGTGTGTGCATGTGTATAAGTATGTGCATTTAACGTGTGAGTGATTGTATTAGTCAGGGTAAGACTTTAAAATTGTTTTCAGAGAGTGATTTTGCCCTCTTAATCTTTTCAGGGGTAATTTTTTGACCCATGAAATAATGGAGTTGAATTGCATCCTGGCAAACGAACACTCAATTTGTACCACTGAGATTTTTTTTGTTAAATTTTAATCTCCAAACAAAGGAACAGAGCAATAATCCTCGACTACCTACAAGTATTCCACGCTTCTCAAAAGGTGAAGAAAAACAAAGTGTCCTGCTTTCACAGCCATTTCATGAATTTGAAAAAGCATTTCAAACACGAGTATGGACATGTGTGAGAGTTTGAGTCTGTCCACGTACCTGTATGCGCATGCGTGTCCATGAATATGAGTCTTGCTTCATTAGCGCGGTGACACCCTCTTCCCAGTATCACAGCACATGTGTCTGAGCTGGTGCCAAGAGTATGGTGAGAGCTAAATAATGGGGGAAAAATCCATAGCTATTTCCTGTTATTCTACAAACTTCCACAATGGGACAACCACACACGCCACAATGGAGATGAAAGGAGTCTGTCCTCTTCCCCCACTCCTAACTCCGCTGTCCGTTTTGGGTGTGGCTCAGCACATGAATGAATTCAACATAGACGTGTACAGTGGAAATAAATCAGTGTGTTACAGTATACACACCTGTCAGGATTGCTTACAGAATGCGATATTCACAGTGTTTAAAGATAGTTTGTATTATTAACCTACTGATAATCACAATCACTTGTTGCAGAAGCATAAGTGATGTTGAAACTGGTGGCCATGTTGACCATTTCATCAGTCGCCGTCTTTAAAAAACTGAAAAATGCCAGGGATTAGCCTCAGTTTTGACAAAAATATAACTCTGCAACTGACATAGTAGAGAGCTGCTTTCTTGCCGATAGTTATATGACAAAATACTCTATAAAAAGATACCCACATAAGTGTGCTGGTTTGGTTGCCTACATGTAAACAGTCTGTTTGGACTGGAGAGAGAAAGAAATGCAATCTCAGATGCAATCTCAGAACCCATTGTCTGTTGTCTGACACTTTAGCTGACATTTAGCTTTTCAATAGCGTTTTTCTAATCTATGTCTGCAGTTTATTCAGCCATACATTGATTTTCCATAACAGCTTATCCTGTTAGGGGTTGCGGGGGAACTGGAGCCTATCTCAGCTGACATTTGGCGAGAGGCAGGGTGCACCCTGGACCGGTCGCCAGACTATCACAGGGCTGACACATAAAAACAGACAACAATTCACACTCACATTGACACCTACGGGCAATTTAGAGTCATTTCTTTGGAGTGTGGGAGGAAGCTGGAGTACCCAGAGAAACATGCAAACTTTGCACAGAACCAGGTTTGAACCAGGAATTCTCGTGCTTGTGGGGTGACAGTGCTAACCACTGAACCACCGTGACGCTCTCTATCTGCAGTCATATGCAGGTATCTGTTTATAGAGATTAGCTGTTGATGTTGAAACTGTCTCAAGATGCTAATCGAATTGTAAAAAGGCGGCTGGCGCACTGAAAAGGGAATCTTGGTCCAGACATGCACCGGCTACACTGGATCTCCCGAAATATTGGCCATTGCCCCCCGAGGCCCCCCGAGGGACCACTTTTCAAACTGGAAATGGCGGCCGAGGACTGTGCGACTGTGAATGTCGCTGCATTGTACAAATACATATGTTTTTTGCACTAAGCACCACTATACTGTTGTCGGATATAAGCCAGCAGTATGTTTATTGGGTTAATTTAGCAGTCTGTAATGATTTGGTAACGTGAATGCTAATGCTAGTTTGCCAACTAGCTAATTTGCGATTGTCATTTCCGATAAGTGCACAACGGCCGTGTTTGGTTTGAGACAACACTACCCTGTCGAAATTCGCACACTACGTGAATAAGTACATAGTGCACATAGTATACTACATAGAAGTGTACTAACAGAAGTATGTGATTTGAGATCCAGTGATACATACTCTTGGATATAAAGCCACAGCTTGTTAGCCTAGATTTGAAAAAGAGTCAGGCTAGCTTTTTCATCTCGTCTAGTCTTTGTACCACGCTAGGCTAACTGGCTGCTGGATATGGCTTTATATTTGACAGAAAGATACAGTATGAGTGTTTGTCATATAACTTTTAGCAAGACAGTGAGTATGTTTAAAGGACAACTTCGGTATTTTTCAACCTGGGCTCTATTTCCCCATGTGTATGTGTGCGTATGATTCATGGGTACAACTTGTTCTAAAATTGGTTCAGTATTGAGGCGCGAAACGAGCTAAAACGGCAATGGGGGCAAATGTGTCCCGTATAAAAGTGTTTTTTTTCGCCACTGACTGGTTCAGATTGCCAGTGCTATCTCTGTAGATAGCATATTGTAGCGGCCCTGGGGCAGTGGTGAGTGTGAATGAGTGGAGTCAACTGTCAGTCAGTGTTGGAGCAGAGAGGCGGAGGGCGGCCCCGCTTGGTACTGTAAGTGAGTATGTGTGTGTGAAGTGTGTGTGAAATAGAGGTTGAAAAATACCAAAGTTGTCCTTTAATTCCCTAAATATGGAACTTAAACTCCTGACGAGTGATCATGCTGCCCTACATGACACATTTTCTGTCTTTATTTTTCCACAGGCGGAGCACGAGATGCCAATAAGAGATCTGTGTTTTCAGGTGAGAACTTGAACACTTAGAGGCTGCACAGCATCAAATCAAAAGGAGACAGCCTCACCTCCGAATGTGATGTTTTGTTTGGGTCACCAGAAACCAATTTTGCTATTGTAAGCCACTGCCTTAAGTTTAGAGAGCCTCAGTGTCTGTCAATGACCTCATTTGTAGAGCCACAACATGCTACCCAAATAACTACCAATGGGTGACTTACTGCCGAAGCCTCCACCTTCATTTATGGTCCATTCAATTACCGTCACAGGCTAAATGGAGGGCACAGTGGCTCTGAAATGTGATTGGTGGAGGCCGGCCATGTGTGGAGACAGGAACGCTGTTGCCCAGTTCCATTAAGTCACTTGGGTTCTGAGTTTACACGCAGCAGACAGCGTCAACTCTCAGCGTCAACATTTGGGAGAAAGAGAAAGTCTGTCTGGTTTGAGGTTGTCTGCGGTTCTCCTTCTTGTGGCTCAGGAGGTGCCCACAGTTCCCAGTGTCAGTGTGCCAGTCTGGAGGGAGATCTGAGAGCAGGCTGCTGCTGCTTGGCTATCAGAGAGGCCAGAGCATCGCCACGGCAACCAAACTCAAAGCTCGCTGCTTAAGTCACCCTAATCACTGCTCTCCCAGAACTTATTGTGAAATATGGTTGTTGGAACGCACACTGGGCAGCGGCAGGCCTCATTTTCCACCTCATGTTTGTGTATGACATGTTTAAATATTAAATAGCTGTTTCACAGTAATTGCCCCAGTTATTATTCTTATTAGCGGTTAAATGTGTCTGATTTTAGTTTCTAGGAGACTGATGTTTTTGTCTTTCATTTTTCACAGGCCTATAGTGACGAAGACCAGAGACATTGATCCAATCAAACTATTATGCAAACCACTGGACATTTTCAATATGTCTACAGAGACGATTATTTTTATAATTCATATGAATGGGGAAAAAGAAGATTGTATACTTTTTTCACAGATATTTCATAGACATTGTACTGTAACTGTATGATAAAATGTCAAAAAATATTACTTCAGAATATGGAATATAACATTTATTTTTGTTTGCTCTATAGCATGCTATTGAACTTCCACGTGGAGTCCAGCAACAGATGCATTTTGTTGTTGACAGACTCTTTTTCTAGGCCTAGTGCATCATCACATTGTGAGGGCAGCACACCCATGTTAAGAAGGAGTTTATTGATATGCACTGTTAAAAGATGTAGTGTTATGGAGGGAGTACAAGGAATGCTGTTATATTAATTAAAATGATTTGGTGCACATGTCCCCATTCTTTATATGTTTTGGGCTTCCTTTTGTTTTCACATTGTTATGAATTTCAACATGCAAATGCTAGAGGAGGAGACCAATTCATTTCTTTCATTGTCCTCCCGTCTCATTAAAAAAAAGCACACTGAAGTCATTACGTAAACAACTAAAGCTGTTACAACACAGTCTCGCTTTAATCCAGTCTTTCCCAGATACATGATCCATCTAACTGTGTGTCTCTCACACGTTCTGTGGTGCTGACGGAGACACACAGATCTGTCCTGACCATGACTACATTGCTCCTGTGTGTTTGCCTGGGCACGTGTTGGTTAAACTGTGGTCGTCTGAGTGTTACACACAGACAACGTCGGCTCCAGAGACACACACCATGGACACACCCTCCAGCCTGACACAGTCTGATCTGAGCATTTGAACCCTACTGAGTTTTGCGGTATGGTATGCCCGACTTTTCAGTCTGTCTCTCGGGATGTGGTCTACAAACTACTTCTCTGTCTCATTTCATTGACGGTGATTCCTGTAAAAGGATGTGTGAGAAGACTAATCACTTAAAACCCCATCCTGTAAAACATGGTATGTGGATTAATGTCCCACGTTTTTCAGACCCGTCATGTGCTTGTTGGAAAGGGATGTGGTTTTGAAAGATCTGTGGAAGAATTTAAGGACATGGCATTATGGAGTCACAGTGGTGCCTCGATCTAATCATCGTATCACTTTAAACAATATTTTCCTGTCAGAAAAGGGAAATACAATTTTCACATTTCGTATTCCATTTTCGCACCGTTGGACGGGGGTTGGGAGTGTGATTGCCATCTGTTCTGATTACCAGCGCACTAACTGCATTTATACTATCAATATTTTCTCTTGAGTTCATATGTCTCCTCAAGTCTTTCATTTATGTCAGCAAAAAATCAAGACATGAGGAGTCCTGGAATAAGGAGAGACAGTTTGTGAAATGAAGACTTAAATTATTGCCACAGATGTCACACAAAGACAGCGCTCTGATGCTTTCCCCCCTCTCTGTGTATCTTTGAATGTCTCACTATGTCACAACGTATAAAGATGAAATGGTGGGACCATAACGGATATCTCTCCTCACCGCAACTTGCACAGTATCGTATATCAAATTATAGCCATATGACTTCTTAATGATTGGTACCAATATGAAGGCTTATTTTATGCTGCTCATATATAATCATTTAGCTCAAACTACATATATCTTTATCAGTCACATATGTCATGTTGCTGTGAATCAGCCAGATCGGGTTTCATAATATTAGTACCATCCCTCTGGAGTCTGCAGGAAGAAACCTCCAATATCTTCTGAAAGTATGTTTACTGTGCAGGCTTTATACACCAGGCCCGTTCAAAGCAACTGCGAGGGCCACCCAGGAACAGCGGCAGACATCACTGTACTTAGAGGGAGATCCGGACCACCATCAATGGTCAGCAGACTGACCCAGGTCTTAATTTACAACTGAACAGACTGGGATTTATCCTGACGTACAGCACAAATAAATCTATGGTGGAAGAAAGGTATGCTTTGAAGGCATTTAAAGTTTTTATCATTCACTGCTTGGAATGAAAAAGCCAGTTTTTTTTTCTCTGACTATAACATTAAGAAAAGCACAAAAAGCTAGTACTTTAAACAACACTATGTGTAATTATGGAAAAGCTCCACATTAAAACCCTTTTCTGTGAGGACTCCTCTGCAGAAACACCCGAGGAGGTTTGTGGGGCTGTTTTTTCATGGTAATTTAAAACATAATCAACAATCTGGATTTTGTTTTCTGTGTTCATGGAAGCGAACTCCCTGTTCTCACACGGCTAATGAGATCAGCCTCCACTGTTCTTTGGCTGTTAACTTATTCAAGTCTGTCATCAGCATGGACGTTTGAGTGTTGCTCTGTGCTGTTTCAATGAAGTCAAGGCAGTTGTGCTCCGCTAAAGAAGCTCACTTTGTATCACAAAATACGCAGTACTAAACATTCATAGGTGCTGCAAAAGCCAAAATAAACAGTATAAGACTCCTTGTCATTGTTTAAAGCACTGGTTCCCAACTGGTGGGTCCTGATCTATTCTGAATGGACTGCAAGTGACTTGTGAATTTGTCAAGTTTCTAAAAAACGCACTTTATTTTGAAGTATTGTGAATTTCCAGCACAGAGCTTTTATTCTGAAGTGCCATTTCCTGCTGTAGAGTGAGTGACCAACAGGCAGCTGCTTGACAGAGACAGCAAACTACCTCAACGACATGGCCAAATGAAAGTATGACGCTGATATATTAAACTGTGTGGACCTTGAATTAATGCTTAAGAAGAAATCTGGATCCAGTGGCTGGACCAGTTAGGAACCACTGGTTTAGAGAACAGATCCTGACACAACTGCACCATTGGAACAATCAGTATAAGATTACTCCAATCTTGAGCATATATTTAGTTAACCCCACTGTGTTTGGAGTTCAGCTGACAATTAATATGAAATATCATAGAAAAGAAAGAACACTGGCTGCTGATTTTAATCCAATACATAATGCCTAAAATACCACGAAAACTAATGTTGGGTGACAGAGGATGTGCTGCCATTGCCACACTATCAAAGCTTCATATGATTTGTGGTTGTTGATTGCTAACAAAATACTCACTTACAATTTCTCAATCACTATGTGGTCAACTTGAGCCGTAATGGGTGTATTAGAACAGACAAGAACTAAAGCTAAGAAGATATTTCTGAATGCCCGAGCATGGTAAGTTTTGCAGCTGTTTATTTTACAATGTAGTGCCCAAAAATCTTTCTTGGTCAATGGGAGCCATAGCCACCCTGATACAATCACTGAACCTGCCTCCACGAAAATAAGTGGAGGCCTCTGTGTGGTGTTTTTAAACTTAAGAAGGCTTGTTCCCAGTACATGTTTTGTTTCTCACAGTCAATGTACTTCTTCAAATAAAAGCTCTATATTTGTCTCTGTAAGGGAAAGGACAACCAGCCCATTTGAAGAACAATGAGTCATCTTACACATGTGCATATATATACAGATACATAACACATTAAAACAGGATTGTTATGACACTCAATTGTCACACATCAGATAATTAGAAATATTAACTGTTAAAAAAGAAATCAAGGTGCATCAAAACAGGATTCTTTAACCTTCATATTGACATTGAACTAGCCTTTCCACTACAAAAGCAGAATAGAATTTCTAATAATTCAGTTATGGCTTATGGTTTTGGTCTGCCACCCCAAGATTTGCAGTGGCCCCATCTGACCACCACTATGAATTTTATTGGAGGCGCCACTTATTCCTACACTGGACTGGTATGATGTGCAATACTGATTGCAGTCACTACATCAAAATCATAGCACAGCCCAGCACTGGGAGCTTATCTGTAGCAAATGGGCAGAACTGGGGGTTTATGTATGGTCTTGTAGTTTTGAATTTTCAACAATAAACCTCTTATCTTTTATCTATTTTATGTACAGTACTTATAATTTATAGTCTGTGTGTCTATGTGTTTATTACTTTAACTAGCTGTGTTTCATGTCCATCAAAGCCTCAAAAGTGCTCCAACAATCAGTCATGTTTTATTATGATTAAAAGTAACAGAGCCTGGATGATGTAACTTCTCCTCCCTCCCTTTGGTTCAATTATCATGTGATCATCATTTTTACATGTGACTTCTGCAGAGAGAATTAATCTCAAGTCAGAGAGAGAAAAAACAGAGAGCACAGGTTGTTAATAAAACTTGCTGCTGTTCTGAAGACATTTCCAGATTTCACCAAGACAGTCCAGCTGTAATGACAATATTCCATCTGCTGCATTATAAGAAATGAATTTAACAAGTGTCAGAAGTTGCATTCACAGTAATGTAACTATTTTAATTAATTCATCAAAGTAATGTGACTTTTTGCATTTGATTTCTTTTTGAATAATTGTCTTACAAACATTTTAAATTGGACAATAAAGAGGAAAAGCCGCTCAAATGCACTCAAATTTGTGGCTTTGCTGACCCATGTTGTTTGTAGAAGATTACAGTTACATTTATTTTGTGATTTAATCACGTAACTCTATTACAAGTAACTAGTCAGCCTACTCTCTAGTACTCATAGAAACTCAAAAAGTATGGCTTCATCATCATCATCATCATCATCATGTTCTTCTTCTTCTTATAATATTAATAATGACATCTGACATTTTCATAGTTGTTTCATAGGTGGTGAACTAGGCCTACATGTAATTAAACTGGTAGTTTAACTACATCTTGCATTAGTTTGCTGGTAGTTCATCTACAGTCATGTTCAAGTAGTGATTCAAGTAGTTTTTCTGCATTTTTTGTGTAGTTACCTACAGAGACTACAAACACTTTTTGGCTATAAAAGTAAAGGAATTATTTTCTATTTTAATTTTACCATTGTTTTTCAACTGTAATTGAACCCTCCCATGACCACATGTGCTCATTAGTATTAATGGTTAACTAAATAAGCCTGCCTGGCACAATAACTCCACCTCGACTCTATGGTTTCAAGAAGGTAGGTGTGTGACTGATGGACATTGTGTACAAAATCAAAGTTGACATTCCTGCACTCTCCCATTAATAGTGGGCTATTTTATTTTATTTTATTTTATTTTTGGTTCAGGCAAGACCTGTAAACAAGTGGACACTTTTTGCAATAAACTCAATTAAGAAGCTTTTTTTTTTGCTGGCATATGACTTTTTGTATCATATTTAGTTATAATTTCATATCACATGTACACATTGTATTTACAAAGTAATTGGCTTACTTTTTCTAAGTAGCTTTTGTTAACCAAACTAGATTTCTCCCAAGGGTATGGCTGTAGTTCAGCTTGCACAGCAAAGTAGCCTCCCCAGTACTGCTTATAAGTACATTACATGTAGCCTACATTAAAAAAAAATTGCATCAGGTTCAATCCATACAGTTATCTTAAATAAAGCTAGTTATACAACTTGATAAAAAAGACAAAAAAACAACAAACAAAAA